ACCGTTGTACCCGCGCTAGGTGACAGTTTACAGGAAAGTCAGATTTTTTTTCCTCAGGGGACTATATCCCATATCTTGCTGAGGTTGAAAAATTCGAACTTTCCGGATGATCACTTTTGAACGAAGGCAGGCTCACCGCGATGGATTTATTGTAGTGTTTAGGTATCGGAGAGTTGGATCAATTCCAAATACTTAATTGTAGAGAATTGAATAGAAGGCCGAATGAATTGCAAAGGCAGTCGACCTTCATCTGACAGGGTCTTGTTTCATTTCGCGGCCTCTCGAACTTGTGGCGGACATTTGACGAGTTAGCTATCTGCATGTGGTATGCGTATTCGTCACCATGCGGAGAGGTGGCCTCTGAAGGTCCGCTGGCTGGTGGCCATTTGCACTCGTTACTTAACGTTCACCGATCGCTCACGGAACCCACTTGTCCCTCTTTGTCTTGAGACTCATTCTCGATCGTCAATAGCAGGCGCACAGCAGTAAGTAATCTAGGCAGATAGCATCGCCGGCGAAGAACTTCGAGCCTCGGCTAGGGCACCACTTGAAATTGGATATGGCTGACTCCAATATCTCTTCTTTTTGCCAGCAGTGCTATCTGATAGCCATTTGTAATTCTTCGTAGTTGATGCTAGAAATAGTAACAATATCTGTTCCAATGAACCATGTGTAGTTCTGAAAATATTGTACACTAGCCATTCGGGTTAATCACAAACTTCCTCATATCGCCCCATGAAACACTCTCAGAGGACCTGATTAGGGCTAAAACTGAGTGGTAACAAATGGCATCTCTTTCCAAAGCTGTTTTCATTTTCCTAAAAAATTAATTAAGAGTAGAGGTTTTAAAAGGCTCCATCCAACGCCCTCATCTAAACTGGATTATACTAAGTAAGTTATGTTTGACTTCCAAAAACAATATATTTTATCGTGTCAGCTACCCATTTCTAGCACATTTGAGCACCCAATAAGATTGTTGTCATTTCTCCTCAACGATATTTAGTATTCATATTTAGTAGAGCTCTGGTAAACCAAGCATCCTCTAGCTGTGTAAGGTATCGATGCTGCCCCATACTCACACGTTAAACAAACGAGTGTTGTCATTTCAATTCACGCATTTTTATCTTTTAAAGAGAGTTTGGTGCGCTGTTGGTTTTTAAAGGATGTCTTCTTGTTATAGAAGACGCAATTGCCGCTTCAAAAGGTCCTTTGGAAGAAAACGGAGGGAAAGAGCTCTACATTTTAACAAGTAAGGAAATATCAAAGGTTCTTGTATTTGTCCTAAGCACAGCAAGGCGTAACACTGTTTCAAAATTGATTGTTTTGTTTGATTAAGTCGATGTATCGAATTTCGTTATCATACCAAAATTCAGTGATATCTGTTTGTCCACTGTTGCTGATAATTTCTGGGCTAATAGGTTTCCTCTGTAGGAAACTCACTTTCTTGAAATTCGACTTTCCTCCAATGATTATTATTAAGGATTCTCTACAGAATCCGGAACGTCAGGAAAATAAAACGCTTGTTCGAATGATCACATCTTCTTCTGAATAAGTGGTTTATTGAAATATATTGGAATGATTTGAAAGTGAGAGAATCTGAATTGCTCCTGAAGTGTCTGCTGAAAAAGGGTCGTACTTATAAGAGTAGCTACCACTCCCAATACAGCTAAATACTGTTTTCAGTCGAATATATAAACCAATAATAAAGACAAACATTAAAACCGGAATCAGCCTTGTTACCAGAGGAAGAAGAATAAAAAAGAAGAATAATAAGAGGAGAAGAAAAATAAAAGCAAGAATCTAATTGGCTAGAGGCTCCAGATTTTCATTCTACCACATTATGAGCTACCTTCGCAGAAAATATTAATAGAGGCACAAGTTATGCACTATTTATAGGCCACAGTTGTCCAAACGAAAACGTGCCTGTTCACAGTTGAGGGTGGAAGTTCAGGCGATTATTTCTTCTCGGTCCGTATCCGGGACGTTAATGGCTGAGATTTCATCACGGTTCTTAGTGAATATTAGTCTGCAGTTTGGTTGGCCGTCACTGGGGATTTTGGATGAGTCCAACATATCAGACTAATAAACTTCTCGTTCCAGCCATTGCCTCTTCTTCTCCTGACCTGCTTCCTAGAAATTACCTGTCGGAGTGCATCGGCAATATAACAGTATGCTAATAAAAATTTCTGGCTGCGCATAAGTAAAATTAGCCGCATTTGACGGGATACTAGTCGACTTACGCAGTTCTGTGTAACTCGTTTTCCTACAGTACTGGTTTCAATATTTCACAACACAGTCTGTGTTCTTACCGAGCTGGCGTCTATCTTGTCTGCCAACTG